ACAAACGGCTGCTCACATTCGATCAACATTCCTTTCCATTTGCTGTCTTTGCATCAATGAGATCACTGACATTGTTTGTTATGCGACCAATCAGAGCACAAGAGATTGTAATCAATATCGTTATTCCCGCGTTTTCAAATTCTACATTTCATCGTAGTTTCTTGCTGGAGGAAACGCAGAAGGAGGTTTTGCAAAGTGATCGTTGTTTTATTTGTTCCACTTCAGTTGAGACAAAAGAAAAAATTTATGTTTTTGGAAAAAGTTCTTTTGATTTTCCGGCGAATATTAGTTCCTGTCTGGATGTGAATGTGAGCTACTATTCAGCGACTAGCGAGTTTTCAGTTTGTAAAGCTTGCTACTGACAATTTATCAAGTTCAAAAAGGCCTCTGTTCATCTTGAAGACCTCAAAGATAAATTGAAGGGAATCTTCAAGGATCGAGAACTTCCCAGAAAGAAGCGCTTATTAAGCGTTGAGAGCGACGGTGGAGAAATCCAAGCCTCGTGCCGTGGGAAATCCTCGAAATGTTTACAATTCGATCCTGTCAATGCGACTTGTACCTCAAATGCTACAGCCAATTCTAATATTTCTACCACGATCAGCCAACAGGGACATTACACTCCCGCAAGATTTCCTATTGGTTCTATTGGTGTATTGATTTAGACGCCCCAAAATTATATCACTGGATAAACAAACACTAGAGAAACCGTCATGCCAGGGTATCAGAGCTAGATAAACAGAATAAACAAAACATTTTTGTTTTGTTGCCTCATGGGAAATTGAATCCTGTAGTCCATAGCTTTTGAGAATTCACACTGTCTATTCAGTATGCCACTGCAGTGTTAAGTAGTCTATGAATAGTCTGGAACAACACAAATGTACAATATATGAGAGCGTAGTGACAAGTATGTGCCGATGATGACAAACTGTTACAGCCAAAAAATGTCAAAACAGGACCCTGGAAAAGTCTGTTAGCCCAGATTTTAACCCAAGAAGTACCCAGGTGCTGCAACTACTGATATAAATGAAGTTCATATAAATGTCTTCATACAAATCTGATCTATTCAAAAGTCTGAAAGATTTGCAATCTCACTGAATAGTGACTAATAGCAGTCTAAAATTTTTGCTCAATATACAAGCAGAATACAATTTGATACTGGCAGCAGCACCAATGAAGAGATTCAATTTTCAGAGTCAATTGATCAATATAATCCATGGAATCTTTCATAGCATTCTTAATCAAACTTCTGACCATTATCATAAATTATTTTTCTCTATTACATGTACATGTATACAGTAATTTCTTCACAAGTGAAATGTAACTAATCTCAAACAGATGTTCCATCTTTTGTGACTTCACATGACGATACTTTCAATTGCTATGAGAGAGTATGAGTAGCACAAAATTAATTTTATGTCACTAATCAGACAATGAAATTGACCAGTAATCTGATTGAAAAATATGAATTTATTAGATCACTCATTTTCTTACCACAATGTAGTTGGAGGGCCAAAGAAGCTGTACTGTTCTCCCCAACCCCCTCCCCCACAGTGATTTCCACCACTCTGTGTTCTGTTTTTGTTACTGCCAAACTTTTTTGCCCTGCCCATTTGCCCTCTTTCTTTAAGTCCTGCCGTTCCGTACGGATGGAGGACAGTTTAAAC